GAAGTGTTTGTGATAAACCGAAGGATGAAGTGTTTGTGATGAACCGAAGGATGAAGTGTTTGTGATAAACCGAAGGATGAAGTGTTTGTGATGAACCGAAGGATGAAGTGTTTGTGATCAACTGAAGGATGAAGTGTTTGTGATGAACCGAAGGATGAAGTGTTTGTGATCAACTGAAGGATGAAGTGTTTGTGATAAACTGAAGGATGAAGTGTTTGTGATAAACTGAAGGATGAAGTGTTTGTGATAAACCGAAGGATGAAGTGTTTGTGATCAACTGAAGGATGAAGTGTTTGTGATCAACTGAAGGATGAAGTGTTTGTGATAAACTGAAGGATGAAGTGTTTGTGATAAACTGAAGGATGAAGTGTTTGTGATGAACTGAAGGATGAAGTGTTTGTGATGAACTGAAGGATGAAGTGTTTCTGATTAACTGAAGGATGAAGTGTTTGTGATAAACTAAAGGATGAAGTTTTCCTTCGTGTGTTTTATTTTATATTCCAGCTCCTCCAACGATACAGGATGTGAATCTCGCTGCTTCAACATGACGGTGAGAAATATTTAAATGTTTTTCTTTGAGGATGTTCGAGTTATAATTCACTTCCTCTCATCTATTTTCACTCTGAAACGTGACTCTTGTGCTCTGCGTGAGGTTCCTTGTTGGAATCACGTGTGAGAGGGATGCACACGTGCGTTCATGCTCTGCCGCTGGGAGACGGAACGCAGGAGGTGACGGCTTCTGTTCCGTGTGAGCAGGAGGTCCGGGAGGAGATCGTCAGACTGGACGAGGGTCTGGAGCTGCAGGTTTCCCGCGACCCCAGAACGCTGCAGATGGTGACCACCGTGGTGATGGCGGTGACCCGGATGAAGCGCTCGCTGGGCCACCGCCGGCTCAGCAGCGACGCGCTCTGCAGCGCCATCATGGAGAGCCTGGTGACCGGTGGGTAGTGGGACGTTTCCGTTAGACTTCCTCCAGAGACAAAAGGGAACCAGAGCAGATGGATGGAGAAGTAAATGGATGGAGGAATGAACGGATGGACAGACAAAAGGACAAACAGTTGTTTTACATCACATGTCATTTAGCTGACGCTTTTATCCAAAGCGATTTAAGTACAATAAGTGCATTTCAACCATAAGGAAACAAACTGAGAAGAACAGGAAAAAAGAAAGTGCAATTTCATCAACTTGATGTAGATAAGAACATTATAAGTCCAATGTAAGTGCTACAGTTAGTGTGTTAGTGGAGGTAGAGTCTGAAGAGGTGTGGCTGTAGTCTGAAGATGTGAAGGCTCTCTGTGGTCCTGATGTCTTCAGAGACCTCCTTCCACCATTTAGGAGCAGGACAGCAGAGAGTGGAGATCTAGTCGAGTGTTTTGCTCTCAGTGAGGAGGAACAAGCAGTTTATCACATGCAGAGCGGAGAGTGCGGGTCGGGATGTCGGGTTGGACCAGGTCCTGGATGAAAGCTGGACCCCATCCATTCACAGCATGGTACCTGAGCACCATGTTTAGAACTGGATGAGCCACCGGTACCAGTGAAGAGAGCGGAGGAGTGGAGGAGTGGGGGAGAACTTAGGAAGGTTAAAGACCAGTGGAGCTGCTGCATTCTGGATGAGCTGCAGAGGTGGAATGGAGGTAGCAGGAGACCTGCAGGAGACTCCCTCTGGTCTGAGAGCTGCCTCCGTCTCTCCACAGAAACCGTCGTCACGACAACCGGGAGCTCATCGATGCAGCCGTTCCACCGGGTCAACAGCGAGGAGGTTTGCACTCTGAGTGACGTCTCACACAAAGACGTCATCTGCCCGTCCGGAGGGACGATCCTGCAGGCGATGGTCCTGAAGGGAGGACACTCTGATCGCAAAGGTACCTCGAAGTACACGAGAACTACGTGAGCCGTACTCGGCGTATTTCCTTTATAGAAGGACACATACGTTCATGATGGGATGCAGGACTGTACTACAAATACCTTCAAACTGGCTCCATTGTAACGTTATAATACGACTTTATGGACTTATTAGTGAATAGTACTGAAGGACATTCTCCCTAGCGAGTACTATAATTCATACTGTAATTTAGGAATATTTGGCTGATAACACTTTTGTACTTTTACCATGCAACATTTTGAATGCAGTTCTTATGATGGAGGATCTGGGGACTTTTGGTATTTCAATGTCTTTAATTAACCCGTAACATCTCCCCCCCTCCCCCCTACTCCCTCCTCCCCCCTCCTCCCACCACCAGTGAGTTTTAAACTGGTGAGTTTCTTAAGTCCCAGCCTCTCCCCTACAGACGGTACCGCTGTCCTCCTGTCCGTAACCAACAGCAACCGCCACATCTCCTGCTCCTGTGAGGGCGGAACGGTTGTGCTGAAACTGGAGGTGAGACAGACAGACAGACAGACAGACAGATCCACATCCAGAGACACACACATACAAACCCATAGACAGATTGACAGAGAGAGAGACAAACAGAGGGGAATTTAAAGTTGGCAGGAGCCTTTGGTACTATACCCCAGTAATATAAACTGCTCAGTCATTCTTAACGTTAATAACTACTTGAACTCGGACCTCATTCTCATCCTTTTAAAGTTTGATATCATAATTCTGTCTCATCATCACTGCACCTCTTCCAAATTTTACTTATAATCTCAAGGGTGACCCGGAGACCGAAGCCTGACGGGCTTTTTTTCAGTCAAAGGAATCCGACCGTAAGCTTGCTGTAGAGCGACCCGCACTAGGACACGGGACCACTTCCTCTTTCTCAGGATGACCACGCGGGGTCGAACTAAACACAATCCAATCTCCTTAGGAAACTACAACTGGGATCGTCGTTACCCCGTGAT